AGATTCTGTCGGACGCTCGTGAGGAAGCATCGGACGTCCGGATGGATCGGACGTACTCCTCGGACGCACATCGAACGTGTCGGACGTCCTAAAAATTTCACAAAGTGTTGATGACTCTCTGCCAAGACTCTGTCGGACGCTCGTAAGGAAGCATCGGACGTCCTGAAGGATCGGACGCATGCTTCGGACGCACATCAATCTCATCGGACATCCTAAAAATTTCACGAAAATTTGATAACTCTCTGGACGACGTTCGGACACAGAAGCTCGAACGATAAAATCCCATCGGACGTCCGAACAACAACTTGACTGATTTTCGGATGATGGGATCGGACGATGACTAAGCCGTCGGACGTCCGACAGCCCCAACAACTAGCTGACTCTTCATCTGCCTTCTATCCGTTGGAAGTATTAATGAATCCCATTTTTGGTTCCCTTTAAATACAAACGATTCTGAATCAGATAAGGACTTTTGCACACTTTGTTTACAAGATCTCAAGAGATATTTTAAGTTAGAAAATAGTCTCCAAAGCTAGATTTGTTCTCCAAGTGGTGTGAATTTCTTGTGAGCATTTCTCTTGTGGTTGAAAATTTCATTAGTGTAGCTTTGTTGAGGGTTATCTGAGTGATTGTAAAACTTCTTAACTTGACTAAGTGAGGCTTAGGGTAAGGAGGAAGTGCTCCCTCCATTGTACATCTAGTTGATCATCTTTCATCAAAGAGAAGTTGCTCAACCTAGTGATTGGTCTTCAAGTTTGAGGAAAGCTTGGTAGACAATCGGTTTGATATTCTATCTTATTCCTTTTTGTTTAATAAAATTCTCATTGCTTATCTATACTTGTTTTTCGAATCAATATTGCTCTCTTCTTCTAATCTACTTGATTGATCATTACTATAAAAGAAGGTAAATTTTTATTAAGCAAAAATTGCATAAATTTGATTAAGATTTTAATCAACCTAATTCACCCCCCTCTTAGGTTGTCTTTGGGCCTTACAAGGTCTAAATTCGGACTTCTAATATCCAAGTTTGTTTCAACAGAAGCAGAAGCACTTGCATTTTTTCTTCCTTTTCTTGTTCTTTCGATGATTCTTAGACCGATTATCTTTTTGCTTTATGACTTCATTGAATGTCCCTCTTCAATCACGTGTACTTTGGTAGACAAATCTTTGTTATCTTTTTGTGTTTGAGAATCCTTCTTCTCTTACATGCTAAATTCCTTCTTAACTCTAAAGGTGTTAGGATCCAAACGCGGAACAAACAACTATTGAGATATCAAGTGCACAACAATTTAATGAGGAACAAGCCACAAGTATGAAAGATAGACGACACACAATATTTAACGTGGTTCAACTCCACCATTGAGCCTACGTCCACGGAGAGAAATCCGTTCTTTATTATGAGGGGAAAACCCTATACAAGAAAATAACTTAAACCCAAACCCAACTCTTGTATACCATCTCTCATCTCCCAAGAACCCTCTCTCACACCCCATGTATAAGGCTACATGATGCCCCTTGTGTCTCCTTGTGTTTCTCCTTGTGTGGTATACCAACCCATCTATTTATAGGGAACATTACTGCCAAAAAACCAAATAACAATTGGAAACCAATACTATTACCTAAACTAAATAGAATTTCTTGGCTACTATTTTAAGTAACTAAAACTAATTAGGAAACTAGTTACTTCCACACAAGATAAGAAATCTATCTAAAAGAATTTAAGCCAATTTCCTAACAAATCTCCACCTTGGCGAAAATTTCTTTTAGCAACCATTTGCCTTCAACTACCAAATAATATGGTACCAAACTACACACCCGAATTAATATAGTCCTGACACCAAATTGATTCAATCGGCAAATGAACATGTGTAGTTGCCCCGAGTCTAACCTCCAGTTAACTGGTGAGAAGGTGCCTCAATTCACCATCTCCCTTTGTAGGATGTCTTCTCACCACCACTTGCAATCTGGGATTCCCTTCTGTGAGCTCTAACCCTAACCATTGAGGCAATCAAGTGGTAAAGTTACCATACTTCTTCTCATCCTCAAGACTGTCTCGCCACGTGTGGTTTCCAAGGCTCCACCTAAAACGAAAAACTCGTACCTGTCAGAGTTTTCTGGCGCATAGAAATTAGACCTCCTTGTTTCTTTGGGACACGTGCCATACCACCCAAAAAACATAACCAAAATCTAAAATCCATCGAGATGAAGTATCAACCGTTGGAGGTGTGAGAAAGTCTCCACCGATTCACGTCCAAAATCAACATTGGACTCCACCTTTTCCTTGACCCTTGAATCACCTGCCTAGATTCACCGTCAAGCATCTTCATGCTTTTCGACTTTTCATCCTTCACCATCAATGCTTTTTGTCAAGCTATTGAAACAAGGATACTACCCATTAAATTGTTCAATTGGTGACAGCTACCAATCCACTTCATCTCAATAATTAACTAGGATCCAACCATGAACTTTGCTCTATTGCCCAGTCTCGCAACCTGAAACTCTGATACCACTTGTTAGGATCCAAACGCGGAACAAACAACTATTGAGATATCAAGTGCATAACAATTTAATGAGGAACAAGCCACAAGTATGAAAGATAGACAACACACAATATTTAACGTGGTTCAACTCCACCATTGAGCCTACGTCCACGGAGAGAAATTCGTTCTTTATTATGAGGAGAAAACCCTATACAAGAATACAACTTAAACCCAAACCCAACTCTTGTATACCATCTCTCATCTCCCAAGAACCCTCTCTCACACCCCATGTATAAGGCTACATGATGCCCCTTGTGTCTCCTTGTGTTTCTCCTTGTGTGGTATACCAACCCATCTATTTATAGGGAACATTACTGCCAAAAAACCAAACAACAATTGGAAACCAATACTATTACCTAAACTAAATAAAATTTCTTGGCTACTACTTCAAGTAACTAAAACTAATTAGGAAACTAGTTACTTCCACACAAGATAAGAAATCTACCTAAAAGAATTTAAGCCAATTTCCTAACAAAAGGACTTGGCAAGACTTTCAAGAGAGATTTCTTATTTATTATGCTTCAAAATTCTCTTGAAATCTTTCCATGTTGGACACAGTTTGTCTATTATGGAGCTTACAAAAATGGTTTCATCCATATGCATATTATGTTGAGTGAAATAGTTCAAAAGTTATCTCAAATTTTTGAAAATTGTTTCATAATAGGCCTTGAATCTACTATTTTATAATTATTGAAAAAAGAAATAAGGAGCTTCTTACTTATAGCATCTTCTAGCATGTATTTCAATTCGAATCTCTCATAAAGTTCCTTTGTAGTTCTTTTTTTTTTTGTCAAAAAAGTTCCTTTATAGTTGGTATGGTGTGGTAGACATCTAAGTCTATCATTTATTGCATTAAGGATATGGCTTCTAAAAATTTCATCATTATTGTGCCATTTTTGCTTCTTTGTGATTTCTTCAAGAGTTTTTTCATCTCCGTTAATCAGTCTGCAACATGGAACATTTGATTCAAAGGGTGGAGAATATGAGTGGGTTCACAAGGTGATTCCCGCTTATTTTTTATTCTGCAATAATGCTTGATTTAGCTATAGGTCTTCATTACTTATACAGATATTTATCTTTTTTGCCTGCATTGAGCTAATTCATTTTTCTGCTCTGCTTTGTTTATCTTTTGAATACCAGCCGGAAATGGATACTAGTCGCAGAAGATTTTTCTTGTGAGAGAAATGTTGTCCTACTGGGTAAATAGGTTTTAGTTTCAGGTTAAGAACAAGTTAAAAGTGTAGCTTCCTGTGAGGATCTGTGAGCTTAGGTCTTATTAGATCTCCAGCTCAGGTTAGGTATGAGATATTGAGTTTTCAAATTGTGTATCCACATTGGTTATTTATCAGCTCCAATGCAAGTTTTGGAGATTTTCAGCTTGGTGCTGGCAGTCCTTTTTGTCGTGTAGAAATGTTGTTTTATCCTCCCCCCCTACCCCCCCAACACCCACGTCTTCCAACCAAAAAACCCCCCAAAAAAAAAAAAATCCCCCCTCGTTGGACAAGTAGGGGAAGCTTCGTAAAAAGGGCTTGTTTAGGCAAAACCACGAGAAGGTTGGCTATTGTGACCGTGTCGATCTTTGAATGCATTGATTGTACTGATTTTAGTTAAATTCTATGTTTATCAGCTCCAACTCAAATGCTTGGAGATTTTGAGTTGGTCCAGGCAGTCTTGTTTGTTTTGGCCTTTTGGGTGGCTAGTGATTTTAGGCGTAGACTTGTTTTTTTTTATTTATTTTGGACGGATAAGGAAATCTCATAGAAATGGGTCAATTGCAGTGAAAAATTTGTCGTACTTCAACAGCAAATGAGTAGCTTTCTGTGTTTGAGCTGAAGTACTGAAGATTTATCTTGAACTCTTATAGGTGGGGTTGCTCAATTATTGGTTGAACTATCCATCATAAGTTGTTGGTTTTGGTTGTCTTGGTAATATTTTTTTCACTTCATTAAAGGTTCTTTGCATGGAAACATAGAGGGCCTTTACAAACAAATCCTAGATGGAAACCACATTAAACGCGGGAAGAATAGAAAGGATGAAGCAAACTAACATCAGCAGTTCCTTATTCTGGGGCCTAAGTCTTGGCAACTAGATGACAGGGCTGTTGTTATGATTAGTATTGTACTGCCAACCAAATTTTGGTTAATATTGCAAAAGAATTTAAGCATTCGTACCAACCCGGGTTCGGTCAAAAATAAAAAAGAATGGTAAAAAGATTTCTAAACGATCTAAAAGAAATTATTTAACAGCATGTGAATCATAAAAAATAAATAGATGAAGTGAACAAATACTTGAACTCCATTTCGTTCAAAATTCTTTCCAACTAGACAAAGGGATTGAAGTGTAAATTATTTATTTCTTTTTATGTAGAAGACTTTTTAGTTTTCGAGATGCTTATAATCTTGTTACCAATTTGTTTTATCAATACAAGTGAAATATACAGTCAACCGGTAACATCTTACATGCCTTGAAAACTTTCGAACGTGTAAAATTTGTTCAGTGGAACAGAAATCACGTTTTACTTTACAGAGTTTTAGAAAGATACAAATGTTACATTATTTTAGATGTAAACAATTTTCCAAGGAGCACCAACATCTTAACTCTCCTATCCTATCTTTTACCCTGCCATCTAAATTTCCACTTAGAAATCAGTTATTGCTTACTAAACTGAATGTAGCTAAGAAACTATTTACAATGAGAAAAGGAAGGCGGTGCAAAAGCATGACCAGACTCTGTAATTTGTACATGGGTATGTTATTTAGTGTCCTTGTATAGCTTGGCAGTTGAGCTTAGGACGACAACGAAGACTGGGATGGTGCAGCTGAAGCCTTGCAAATGGGACACCAATTCTTCAACCGTAACCACTGGTGTATACATACCAAGTGATAACCATGTTCACATCCCAGCTTCCCAATTTCATCGCCTGCTACATACTCTTCCTGCAATGTAGGTGCTTTTCATCAATGTTTGAGTGTGCATGGAAAGAATTCGAGTATAACTGGCAAATCAGTTTCTCCAATCAGAGAAAATCATCCACCATAGGAAAACATGGATGAGGTGTCAGAAATTCTGCAAACATTCAAATAGGGCTAATTCTAAACCAGGGAACCTTGTAGCATTATCAAATTTGTTGCAAGCTACTAATGCATCATTGTTGGAACAAACGAGAATCATGCATCAGAGTCAACTGGTTTCCCGCAGTTCCAATCTCAATTAATTATACATAATTTTGCACAAGCAAATTGATGCAGCTGAAACAAAAGGCTCATCATCATCATCAGCTAAGTTGAATTTGAAGCAAAACCGACTGAGGTTCAGCCAGAAGAGAAACAGGCAAACATGCACACACATTTAAGTCTTCACAATAAACGTTCTCTTTATTCATCTTCGGCCTTCCTTTCTTTTCTTCCTTTTTTTTTCAAGAGGGGGGGGGGGGGGTGGGGGGAGGGATGGGGGTTCTGCATACATCAGATTTATATTCTGGTCCGTTTCTTAGGGAATTCATTTTTCAAAAAAAAAAAAAAAGAGAAGAAGATAACCTACTCCCACTGGAGCTCTTTTAGAAATACTGGCCAACATTGCTAACTTAATCCAAGCTTACCTCAAAATCTCTCATCTAGGATGACCACTGATGGTAATTCTATGCTACAGTTAGGCTGCTTCTATCTTGAGGGCCAAAAACTTTTTTAACAGTAACTACTCAAAGCGCATCCAAACAAAAAGCATTATTTCAAGAGCATATATTTGGTAATGAGGACACCACCTGGCAAATACTGCATCTAATATCAGCTTCATCCTCACTACATCCAGCAGCCCCAACATCTGCCGTAGCAGTCTGGTATATGCTTTTCGTGATGCATTTAGCAAATGCCTCTTCTGAGAATGCTGTGCTCACAGTACCCATCCTCTCCTCTAAAGCAAGTAATTCCTGTCAAAAAGGAGTACAGAAACAGTCAAGAAGTACGAAAAGAGGGCATTGTACATCAGTGGCACCAATTTATAGCCAAGAAACAAATAAGAAAACTTTCGTGATTAACAAAAAAATGCTGATTTAAAAGACAATTGTTATAAATTCAAGTTAGTACAATCTGGTTAGCCAGAAAAGGAATAAAAAGTAGTTAGAACAATATTGTACTTAGTGATTCCAATCTATTGCATCTTATGATAACCTACCTCGTACGACATGTTATCAATGTCTAATCTCATATCTCTGTGCTGGTCGTAGAAGTTAAGGTGGCCAAGAAATAAATCGTTCTCCAAAGCAAGTAAGTGCTGAGTCAAAATGGATAAGAAGTAAAGTCAACATACAAGTGCCAATCTGCACAAATCATAAAGTTGCCAAAGATTGAGTACCTCATACTCTTCATCTTGTCCAATTCTCTCAAGAGCTAGTAGTACCTGCGCCAGAATGAAATAATACAATTTACTAAAAATTGCCAAGGCAAGATCAAGAAAACAGAACTGGAATATTGAGTTCTCTGTTAAGCACAAAAGAAACAAAGGAGTGTGCTTCTTCGGATGAACCAGAGAAGTACCTCAGCAACTCCATTCAGGTTATGTCGCCGCAAAGCATGAGTAATACCATGTTCTGTGGGCGTCAAGGACATTATACCAGTTCTCGCAGATAGTCTACAGGAGCTTGAAGCATTTGAAGAACCTTCCATGGAAGATTGATAAGATAAACTATGTAAATTAGCACTATTAGGAGTTTCAGGTCTAGATAATTGTGCAATACCGCTACTGGATTCACTGGTTAATAAAGCATTTCTGTTGTCAAGATTTGAAAGCCCAATCCTAGTATTTGAGTTCAATGCCTTCCGAGTCCTCAGAGGTGCAGTGTGAGAATCACTATTTGAAACCCAGCTTCTACCATGTCTTGAGCCAGTGACAGAGATTCCTGTATTGAAGGCGGAGACATGTCCATCTTCAGAACGAGCCATGCTACCTCTTCTTCCTGAAGAAGATGTACTACTTTGTGCTTCAGGACTTCTTTTTCTTAAAACATCCCTCTTAACCTTAGATTCTGAGGCTGAACCACCTCGTGGGATAACATCAGATATTGAGTTGCATCTTAAATTTCTTAAACCATACCGACTCCCATTGTAGTTCCTAGACCCTGAAGCCATGCTATTTGATGTAGAAATAACAGATGTAACAGAGGGACCAGGAAGAGGATTTTGACAGCCAGACGGAGGCTTGTGACGAAATACTATATGAGATTTCTTACTTGATCCTGTGCTTGAACTCCCTACTTCTGTCAGTGTGACTTTACCAGCACTTGAATCTTGTAAATCAGGCTGAAGTACCGTGTTATTCCTATTTACTAAAGGGATGTGTTCTGTAACATCTGGCTCACACCGAACACCACAAGATTCTGCAGAATCATTGTCTAAGTTAGACAAAGATTTCCTAAAAGAATCAGAATCACGTCGTGATTTTCTTCCATTATTAATTGGAAAACAAGTCTCTGGGGAGCTCCTAGTAGTCTGCTTGCCATTTGAAGAATGACAGGAAGGCCTTATATTTTTGGATTTGTCAGCACAATCACTTTGATTACTCTTTCCATATTTAAGTCTTCCATTGCATCCAAGACGATTGCAAAATTCAGCATTTTGATCTCTTTTATCAATGGTATCCCTGGAAACAAGTCTAGATCCTTTTCTGGGGACAACCACCCCAACTCTGTGTCTCTTACCAGAAAACTCATCCATCTTACTTTACTATCTACCCTTATTCCTGTATGAGCAATAACATATTGAAGCAGTCAAGACCTTCATATAGGTTTGACATCTAAATCAACATAAAACCAGCTCTCCCTTACAAGCGAAAAGAGATTATTTTCCAAAAAAAAAAAAAAAGTTGTAGTTGAACAGCATTTAGACAAGTATTAAAACAATTAATCGTGGTTTACCAATGAAAAATATAGCAGCAATTAATTCCAGCAAAGTTAAGCTTCAAATTATCGAGTAACAAGAACTAATGTACTATACAAGTAGATTCCAGATTAAATTCAGGAAGCAAGCATCTCATATAACAAACTGGGAGTAATTACGTACACTCAGAAATTCCTGTTATAATAAACACGAGAAGTCATATTCAATAGAAGGGAAAACAGAATAATAAGCGTGACTCATCTTCAAGAGGGAAGCAACATTGAAACAAAAAAGACAGGCAGAAATGCCAGTGGAGGGAAAAATCCACATAGTATTTTTGCCCAAGAAATCAGCTCAGTCAATGATTTATTGTAGGTCACAAAACATTCTTCGGTATTCATATGCACCTAGAGGAAAGTTCTAGATAAAGAACCCAATCAGACATGAAATGATAATTATCATTAATTAGCTAAATTCTTTTCCTACATTAATAACAATCAAATTACCATAAAGGAGCAGCAAAACTCAACTCATAAACTGCATCCTAGCTGTGGTTTTACTGCCTAATAACTATGGGGAGGGAAGGCCATTCCACATCACTAGGATCAGATAGTAGGGCACAGCATGTAAATGAGGTACGTAAACAACAAGGTAATCCATCTTCCATTAAGGTAAGCCAGAGTTCAGGTACCATAAAGGCTCACTGGAGATCTGTCCTTACTATGGCAACAGGCACAGATTAAAACGACACAGCAACTAACAATACTTACATACAAAACGCAAGAGCTCCTCCAAACTAATTGAAGAGCTTAAACACAAGAAATTCCTGTAGAAAACACGGATATGGAAATCATACAGCAACCTTCAATTTCCTCATACAAATAGATACATGCAGTTTCTGGAAAAAGAGAGTTGCAGTCAAATATCACATAATACACAAACAAAAGTGGCTTATTACAGAATACCACCATTATGATTAATGATCATATGATTATAGACACTCAAATACAAAAGCAAGTCATATAAGAATCAGCATACCACAAATACTGTTCAATAGAATGACGAAACCAGTAAAGGACAGGAATAAAAACGAAAAGAAAAAAAAAATTGAAAAAAAAAAAGGATGGTCAAAGGACAAACTTTCCGCAAAATATGGCATCAAAAGCTCTTGATTATAAACGGAAAAAGGTTCCCACCAATTTACTCCTTAACCAAAGCAAATAAAATTGGCTTCTCCAAAATCATCCTATAACCAACTTATTCGACAGAAAACCAAGAAACCCACATATATTGCATAAAAACATCAACCATCAAATAACAATCAAGACAAAAACCAAACAAAAAAATTCAAACAAACGAAAAATTCATATCTTCATAGGCCAATCTGCAAGTAAACATTACAAACAAATCAATTAACAGAACTAGCTCATAACGATCAATCCATTCCGACTTTATTTGGTGGAAAAGAATAAATTAACAATATCGACTAAGGACTAGATTCTGTTCCCCTTTTCCCGTTTTGTCATCAGAAACCCAAATACAATACAAAATTTCACATACGAACAAAGACAAACGGAGCAAACCCATATCAGAACACCCAATAAAAACCCAATTGTAGCTGCCAAAAAATGGTACCATGTCTTTACTGGTTAATCATCTGAATAAAGAATAACAAACTTTTCGTTCTCTACCTTTCTTGTTGTGATCAGTGAACGCTATATGGAAGGAGGAGAAGGCCTTTTTGTATCGTTTAATTAGAGAGAAAGCAAGGGAACAAAGATAGGAAAGAAACGTGTTGAGCATGGAACGATCCGATGTCCGAGGCTGGAGGAAGGCTACTACTACTTCTAACAAGAGAACGAGAAGAAAGAAGCCGTAGCTATAGTATGAGTTAATTGTAATATACCCCTTGAAATATCACAGGCTTGTATTTTATACCACGAAATCTTAATTCTATACGTATTATGTAAAAGCAATATGACACTTGGTTCAATTGGTAAGGCTAATAGAAGCTCGGATTCAAATTTCACTTCCAATAGTCACTTGTTGGTAAGCAATCAAGTAGAAAACAATCAAGAAGAACTTTAGTCACTCAAATGCATCAAGTGCTGCCCTGACCTTGGAATCAAACAACCTTCCATTCATCTTAAACAATTACATAAAACAAAAACAAAAAAAAAAATTGTTTGACAAATTTTTGAAGCTTAAAACTTTTGTACTTTTTTTACTTTTCATTTGCAAGATTTAATTTAAGACATTATTAATTTAAAATTTTGTTGGAAAAGTTGGTAAAACTAGTGTCTTAATTTGAAGTTTTGATTACTTAAAAAAAAAAATCTTGTTGATCAAGGGTGACACATAATTAAGATGGACAAAATAGCATTTAGTACCACATACCACTATTTTTGACAAATTGTTCAAGTCAAATACTTTCATGTTGAAAAGTTTGCTTACCCCTAAATGAATGGAAAATTATAGTAGACAAATCTAGTTGATAGGTACTAAAGTCATTCTCTTTTTTTTTTCTAGCTGATATTAAGAAATGGGATTTGATTCATTTATTGTGAATTCTCTTTTCATTTTTTACAATACACATATAAATGTATGACATGTATCTTCATTTATTAGGAAGGGACTTGATCATTTTAAATTTAACTAATCCTAACCTCTATCAATAAATAAAAACACGTGTTATACATCCACCAAATATGCATTGTAAGAAATGGAGAGAGAATCCATTGGAGAGGAGCCAAATTCCTTGAGTAATTTACCATAAATAATAAATTGTTAAAGATAAAAAACCGAGGTAAGATAATTGGTATTTAGGATTACATACAGAAATAATTGACTTTAAAGGGAGGCGTAGTGCAATTATGAACTCTAATAAGGAGCAATAACTAATAATAAATAATGTGGGAGAGGGAGCCAGGCAACCAAAATCATATCCTTAAGGACCTTAACTAAAGCAATAACTAAATAGCCGTCCTGCCAATTGAGTCTCCCTGGAATAGATGTTGGCCGTTAGGTTAGCTTGACTTAGGATGGGTCAAAGATCTACGGCTACCGGATGTCTAAAAGATTAATGTCAAGCTAATTTCAATCCGTAAGGGCCCACGAATATATGATATCAGCCCACCTCAAAGGACTACTACCACTTGGTTGAATTTGGACCCGATGGCCCGTCACTAAACTGAAAGGAAACATTCGGCCGCCTTTTAAGCTCTACTAACGGATACGGGGATGACCGTCCTGAACGGTCCCCTCACAAACACAACCATGAGAACTAGAAATAACTACGTCGACTAATTTTGGGAAGGTAAAAAAATGACGTCACATAAATTAGTAATGAAAAAAAAAATTGACGCTTCTGACGGACCTCGTCATGAAGCATTAGCTCCGTTCCACAAAATCCTGCGCAAATGAATCGTCAAACAAAAAGTTCATTTGCTTTCCCTCCACAATAATTGCCAATTTTCATTCATCCATAACACCAGAAAATGGAAGCAAACAGAGAATATAAGAAAGTGCTTGGAGGCAAAACAAGAAAGTGGTTGGAGGCAGACTAGATATAAGGGAAAGCAGGGAAAATACAATTGCACTAAGGTATATTACAACAAGAAAAAGGAAGAAGTAGCGACAGAAGAGCAGAGTTTCGCATCCGGAGAAGTGATAAAGCAGGAAACACCCAGGTAACAAAACAACAATGGTATTACATAACTTTCGAAATTTGACAAGGTCGTGGAGCGATATGAGTAGTTGTCATTGTTGGACAATGTTGTGAATCAATAGGTCAATTGATTTTTAATAGTTTTGGTGGAACAGACTGTTCATTAGTTTCGAGTAGAAGAAGGTAGGTATTTTGGAGGCCAACATAGGGGAGGATAGGTGAGGAAAACTTAGTGCGCCAAGTGTTTGTAAAATCGTGTGAATGGGATGGGAAATTGCTTGGGTAATAATATAACAAGGGTACTGGTTGTTTCTATGAATTTATTATAGATTTTGTTGATTAGCAGTGCCTGCATGCAGATTATATTTTATGTGTGGTTTGTACATACTATTCATGGCAACATACAAAGCGAAAGAAAAAGTATTACAAAGATAATTCCCTTAAAAATGCCTCTTACAGCATGTTATATAAGAGACATTTCACATGAATAAATAATGACGTGGAGTAAAATTATTATGCGGAGTAAAATAACATGACACTCAGATTGGTAGACGTATTGCAGAGAAAAAGTTACAAGTTTTTTTAGCTAATGGGGTTGGACACCATGTTAATAACTGTTACATGCAGTTAGTCAACAGTTACAGTAGAAGAACTGATATGTAATATTGCGTAAGCATACTGTAAAATTGCTACCTATTATTTATTAGTTAACTCGTATTTGCATAATCACAGGATAAATAGAAGAAGAGGTTAATTGTTTGAAACTTGATAGTTAGGGCAGCAGACGACAATCTAAATAGGGTAGGCAGAATGAATAACATAGTTTTTAACTTGGCACGCTCAATGTGAAAAAAGATTACAAGTTTTACTTTGCTAGTGTGCGTGGACATGAAGGTGAATAACTGTAACATGCAGTGAGTTAGCAATTACAATATAAGAACTGCTCTGTAAAATTTTGTGAATATAACTATGAAATTGGTACCTCCTGATTGTTACATTAACTCATATTTATAGAGTAGGACAAGAAATAGAAGAAGAAGTTAATCCCATCAAACTTGATAAATAAGTGAGAGTAGATTGTAAGTGGAATTGGCGAGACAGAATAATTAACCTACTGTTAATTTTGACAAACAGAGTGTGAAAAATAAGTTACAAGTTTTCATAACTATTGTTACTAAGAATTGAAAGTGATATATTATTTATGTTAGTACTTTGTAATACATTAAGAATAAGTGGGGAAAGCATAATGGAACTGAAGTGCAATTGTCTGTGTAAAACTCCAGTTTAAATGGACAGATGCTCTGATCTCTGAAAGGGATGCATTGGTGATTAAGAATCTTGGGGCTTATGGAAAAGGAAAGCTGGTAACATGTTATTTATTATTTACCTCATTTCATATAAAAAGTATTGGTGCATGTATTATGTGGCTTTACTATTGAAATGGTTGGTTTAATTTGATATTAAAGGTTGGACAACATGATCCGGAAGAGAATAATATGGTGCGTGGCGTACTGAACTACCCCCTGATTTAGTAGGGATGATGATGAACAGCGGGCATGCCGATATCGTTGTAAATGGACCTGTTCCATGGTTAACGAAATTTATTGTTTGGTTTGACGTAATTACTGCGTATTATTGTCAACATTATTGGTTATTGATAGGCCTATCAACTTGTAACTACATACAGTTACAGTTAATATATGAAACCAATCCCAATATTACATTGAATAAATAAGTTATCTTGAATTATGTCACATGCATGTAAATACATAAATGTAGTGATTTTTTGGATAATCATATTATAAATAAATGAAAATTCAATTTTCGCGGTGACCATTTTATTTATTACCATAGAACTTACAGTTATAGAACCTATGCCAACAGTACAAATGTTAACTTTATAACTTTCACTTAGATGTACCATTGTATATGCGTGTATTGTATTCCATTTTGGAGAGCATGTGACTCATTTATGGATTGGTAATGTTGTCATGTAACTGCAGGCTGAGCTAAATAAGCTGTATAACATTGCTGTTAGTAGGCATACTGTCATAACACACCAATATCAGCTACATACGAAGCGGACCTGACAAACTGAATTGAGCATAATAATTAAGTGTGACTTTATTCAAGTTACATCTAGATAAGCCTAATGTCATGTTAAGTCAATTGGAAAGTTACAGTGTGTTTGAAAAATTGTTAGTTACATTGTGTTTAAAAACTGTTATAAAATAGTTATTGAAAAGTTACAGTGTATTTGAAAACTGTTACCAAAAAAATTATTTGGAAAGTTACAAATTGAAAATTAATACAAAACTCCGTATTTGACTATTTGTTGACAGTGTGTTTATAGGTTGTTACAAAATAGTTATTAGAAAGTTACAGTGTGTTCGAAAACTATTACAAAATAGTTATCTGGGATGTTACAGTTTGAAAATTAATACAAAACTCCATATTTGAAAATTGTTAGTTACGAAGTGTTTGTAAGTTGTTATAAAATAGTAATTGGAAAGTTGAATGTTATTGAAGACTGCTACAAAATACTTAATTGGGAAGTTAGAGATTGAAAATTAATACAAAACTGCATATTTGATGATAGCATGTTACAGTGCGTTTGTAGGTTGTTACAAAATAGTTATTGAAAAGTCACAGTGTGTTTGAAAACTGTTACAAAATAGTTATTTTAGCAGTTACAGTGTGATCCATACAACAGAGCACATATAAAGTATGAGGTCCGTACAGCAGACCACATATAAATTTGGACCCAGTATGGGTCCATACATGTCACGTTTGGACCCAAGAATAGCTTTCGTAGTTCAAAATTTGTTACATAGAGCACATATAAAGTTAGTACACGTGCATTGTTATACAATATCGACTCGAACATGTCGACTAACAAACATAGCTGTATAAAATTTGTTTGCATTATTATCATAGTAGAGATCAAAACATATGCGGCCTTAGTTACATAGGCATTTCTGTATCTTTAACAACAAAATCGACTGGGAT